CGTCTATAAAATTACAAACGCCACCGTACACACTCAAGGGTCGGTCTTGTAAAAACCAAGATTTTGTAAAGGACTCTTACAATGTAAGTAACAAGATCCTTACAAAAGTCACCCTGCAAAATAAAACCAAGGTCTAACAAGAAGACTTTCCAACCCTATGCAAGAGAATTTTTTTGTAAGAATTTTACAAACAACTATGGAAGATTTGCTGCAAAACTATTGGTAACAGATCTTGTAATACTGGTTGATTTTGCAAAAGTTCGCCCTGTACAAATAAACCAAGGGTCTTAAAGAAGACTTCCCATCCTATTAAAGATCTTTGTAAGACTTTACAAAACCACTATTGAAGAAGTTTACAAAACTGTTTAACAAGCCTTTAATACGGGATGATAGAATTTACAAAAGTCGACGTTCACAAAAACAACAAATACGTGTTCAGAGCATAACAGTATAACTATCTTATTGTGTACTTTTTGGTTTAGATAAATAAAAATAGTACTGTTTTCGGGTGAAAATCAGGGTCTCATGAATATTAGTGTCATAAGTTATTATAGTATACACATGTTTATAGTACTTTTATAAGCGTTAAAAAAAGACTGATATTTCCAACTCAGAGCATACATCCTAGATTGCAATCTATTTGATAGACCGACACCACACCAAAACACTCCCGACGCGCATATTTATCACTGGCGACAAATATGTATCAACCCTTTGGTTAGCAATAACCGTGGGAAATCTAAACTCTGGCTGTCTGGATATATCTCCTTGCCTGGCTGACATGACGGGCGGGACTTGGGGACAATCACAAACATACCACAAACAAAGATGACACACACGAGGAGAGAGACGGACGACCAGTCGAGCTGTGCCGACCCTCATAGAGGTTAGTTGGGGGTGGACGTTGGAACGAGTAGTCGGTGTGATACTTTTCGGACGTCGGACGTGAGTAAGGGACGGCCTAACAACGGCACTTGCCAAACAACGCACCGCGAGATCAAAAACGGTCGTCTAAACAACTGTAAACGGACGAAACGGAGTGTGAGTAAAAACACAGAGAGGTCCTCCTTAGGTTCCGGAAGGTGTGAGGTTCTGGTCATACGGGAGGTTGGACCTTGTTGACCAAAGTTGACGGCGGTATTGGTTGGAGGTGAGAGTTTCGAGCGGAAAAGATTATTTGTTTACAATGAAAGTGGTCGACTAAAGGCTCAGACTAAGACCCAGGGGAGGTCATGTACACTGTGGGCTGTCACTGAACATGATCGGACGACCGGCGTCGAATTTTTTTTTCTGAACGACTATTTAGGCTTGCTATTTCGTGCAAATAGTGATGACGATTTTATTTTGTAAGACCGTTTTATTTGTTTGATTGAACGTCGACTTTTGCAAAATTCTTATAATCCCGATTAACAAGCTCTGTTACAATAGTTTTTGTAGAATTTCTTCCAATAGGTTGGTTTGTAAAAAATTCTTAATAATACTCGTTAATATAAAAACGATTTAGAGAGTTTACAGTGACAAAACGTAGTTGAAAACCTATGTCCCATGAATAATAATACAATATCAAATCTAAGGAATTTCAAAACTCAGATGATAGGGAAGTAAGTCCCACCAAAAGTGATAATTCAATTCAAAAAAAAACTGCCTGTGTAGTAAATGTAAACAATCGATACAAGTTAGACGGTAAATGAAATTTTATTTTTTAGATACTAACTAAGACTGAAAAGATTAGGTTGAGTGTCCAAATAGTTAACGATAGTTTATCATGTATTACGTGCTTGGTTGTTTTTTTCAAAAGTTCTGTAACATTGAGGGAATGTTTTATAAAAGAACATCTATAAAATGTTACCCCAACAACGTCCAAAAAACATCCTCAGAATGTTGTAGGCAAAACTTTTCACTTTTGTTAACATATCACATTGAAGGAACGTTTTATAAAAAAACTTTCTGTCATCTCAGGCCTTAATAACATCCTCAAAACATCCTCTGAATGTTGCAGTTAAAACATCCTCTGAATGTTGCAGTTAAAACATCCTCTGAATGTTGCAGTTAAAACATCCTCTGAATGTTGCAAAAAAAACTTAAACCTTATAGGAACATTATTTAAAATGATAAACATCCTCAAAAGGTTCTTTGAACATCAGATCAACACGTTTTCTTTAAAACATTATTAGAACCTGTAGGTAACGTTGTGAGAACATTCCCTGCTAGCTGGGATTTCTATTTCTTGAGGTGTTTTACGATGATGTGTCACAGGAGCAGGCCTGACAGAAGGCCTATCTCAGCGAATATTTATTACTGGTCATGTGTTGAATTGTATGACTGCCTGTAAGCACATGATTCTCTCTGGCATGTTCAGCTCATCTGCACATTTAATGAACAACAAAAGACACAAAGAGCGTGATCAACATTTCAACATTTCTTACTCACACAAAAATACATAAATTACCATTATTGGTCTTTGTTTTGGTAACATCATTTCTAGCCAATGACTTATTAACAATCTGTATTTGATTATATTATTAAAAAAACAAAAACATTCCTGTTATTTTCAACCAAAGTTTCAATGCAGTCTTTGCTGCAATGCTATCATCATTATTATTATTATTATTATTATTATTATTATTATTATTATTATTATTATTATTATTATTATCATAATTGTATCTTTTGGAGGGGGCCACAGGCGGGTCCAAACACAGTGAACTACCCCCCAGAGAACTGCCCATGCAGCACACATTGTTATCCTCTGCTGGGCCCTGTCTCTGTAACCACCTAAAGTGTTGCTGTGTGCTCACATTAGAATGCCTTTATGTATCTAATAAATAATTGTTGACAAGCTGAAAGAAGAGGCCAGTGCCGAGTCAGCACATGATAATTGAAATATAGGTCCGAGATTATGTTTACCTTTGAAAATGGCTTTCTAAGTGGAGAAAATGAATTATTGTTAACAAACAGAAAGGTGTCTGTGTTTGCTTGATAAGAAAGTAAAGTGGGATGTATGATGTCACACTGATGTCAGAGACAGGAGTTCATCATCACTGCAGAGCGAGGACTGCTTCCTGTCAGACAGATGTCAGCAAGGCTTTGATTTCTGACTGAAACAGTCAGTGATTGAACTCTGTAATACGCTCCAGCCTGACAGGCCTGACGGCTCATGACATCAAAGATAGAGATCTCCTCTGAATCTTCCAATCCAGGGTTGGGAGGGTTACTTTAAAAATGTGTTAAAATTCAAACAAATCTGTAATTAGTAACCTAATCTAAATATCACAAGAAATAAGTGATATAAACTGTATACTTTTGTTTATTTTTGGCTTAACTTAATATCAGATGCAATGCAAATAAACAAAGAGAAAAGAGATGACAAAAATATGTTTTATTTATTTAGTGTCATCTATAAGACATCAGAACAATGTGACCTTAGAAGGTTATTAAGATATTTAGTATCCAACATTTTTCAAATTAAACTATGGTCTAGGTCTGTAGAATATAGTTTACAAATGTTGTTTAATCCATTCATTCAAATCAAACACAGTGTTTTTGTTAAACTACTGCAGCAAAAAGAAGAATGAAAATAGCCTAAATCAAAACCAAAAAGAAAATTCAGGAAGTAAATGTACCTATAATAAATGTATTTTAATGGTATTATCGTAATTCAAACTACAAAAAATGTATCAGCAGTCTGAGGACGCGTTTTGTGAATGTAAGGGAATACAGCTAGCGTATTCTGTCTCATGTAATAATGTAACATTCTGTCACTCCCCAAGTTTAAATCCTGAAAAAAATCATCTTTTTATTTTCTTAAGCTTGATCTTGATAGTATTCTTAATAGAGGCATTTCATTTGAAAAAACAATTACAGTATTTTATTTTCCTATAACACTGAGATTTAGCACGTTTTCAAAAGTTGATTGGCCCTAATGTAGTCCACAATGAATTGATATCATAAAGACTCACACACTCACGTGTGGCCCTGTTACTGTAAGTGTAAAGCAGTTCAGCATTATGGATCTTCTAATTTCATATGCAGTGATTATTACAGCAGGGAATGCTGGGAATAGTTTTGATTGGAGCCTGCAGAGTAAATGAATTGTCCTGCAACCACACAGCAGTCTCTGGGCGAGAATGAATTAGACTGATTGAACACCTCAATAAGAGGGAGTACGACCACACACACACACTCACACAGTAAATATGCTCTTTCTATCACTCAAACACTTCTATCACCATCATCCACACACACGATCAATTTACACATCAGGCTGAGTATTGATCAGGCTATTTGCTGCTCCGGTCCCCTGCCATGGCCTTTCAATTAAGACGGGAAAGAAGAGACAGAGAAAGAAGGACTGAAAAATAGATGAGACGCAAACAATAAATAAAATGATCAACCTGCTCTCTTTTTCATTAAAAGTTAGAATGAGATATTTTAATTGTATTTCTTATGTAAATGGAGATAAAGGTACTCTTCCTGGGCTGGTCGACGTTCGTGAACTTTTTAATGTGTGCTCATTTAATTGGATTGATTTTTACGCCAAGTTTGAGAATATAAAAGGATCACCGTAGTGTTGTGAGGTTTTGGATCACCCTCTGGAGAGAGACTTAAGAAAGAAAGGAAGGAACACAAATTACAAACAGCTGCAGCAAATGTCGAATTGCTACAGAACAATGGATTTATTTGTATTGAATGGAAGTA